ATATATATATATATATATATATATATATATATAAGTACATTAAAATTGTTGGATAGTTTGAGTTTTAGTCACTGATTTCTCTTACAGACCTTAGGACTGTTGGTTTCTAATGCTTTGCCAGCTTTTGTGTTCAAACCATAACCTTTCAGTGTCAGAGAGTTTGTTGTGTTAGCTTCTAGTCTAATGAAGTATGTTCACATTAGAGAAGGAAAAAATGTACTTGTGAAAAATGAAAAACATTGGAAAACATTAAACTTACTTTGAAATGTTGGAAATGTTTTGTTCCCAAGGCCCTGTATCAAGCATTGCCTAAAATTGTTTATATCCTTTGTGAGCCAATCTGGTTTTTTACTTGCAGTCAACCTCGTCCCCCCACCTTTTATTTTTTTCTATAAGAAGTCATTTTTCACATTTGATCAGTATCTCCAATTGATTCAGTTGCCCAGTTGACAACAGAATTCTTGTCTAACCTCTTCAAAATTTGCTTTTTTGAAGTTTGGAACAAAAATCTCATCTCTTATCTCCATATGTGGTGGAACATCAAACCTAATTAAGCAATGATCACTTTCACCCAGAGGTTATCCAGCCTCCAACCTGTCAATCCTTTTTTTTATATATTAGAAGCTAGCAATAAGTCCAAAATAGTGTTCTCCCTAGTAGGATCTCAGACCAATTGACAAAGAAAATCATCCTCAGCAGTTTCCAAAAACCTGTCTACCTCATGATATGACTTTAAAATCCCACATAATTATGACCTCATTAACAGCTGAATTCCTTATTTTACTGTAGAGTTTCTCATGAATTTTGTCGATCTGTAACAAATTCCAACTAAAAGCTTTCTTCCCTTATAACCACAAACAGAAACCCAAATAATTTCCACCTCACTGCTGTTAGCTTGGATATCCTGGATTTGAAAAGAATGTAGCTCATGATTTACATATAAAGCCATTCTTCTTTCTGTTTTTAGTGCTCTAATCCTATTTAACCAGGTTTCAATTATTCCATTACATCAAAATCCTCTGTTCCAACCAGTGATCTAATGTCATTAGTTTTATTTTTATACTTTTAGCATTACGATAATATTTTAGCCCATCACTAAAACTACATCTGTTCTTTATCCCTACACTGTAATTTTCTGTCTTATTTTTACTTCATTACTTTGGCTTTCATCACTGTCTAGTCCTAGTTTAAAACTACCTTTATAGCTAGGTTAATAGCCCTTAGAGACAAGCCAACCCATACTATATTTAAATGTAAATCATCCTTATCTAAAAGCTTCTTTTTTGCATTTAACTGATCCCACTAATCCACCCAGCCAACCTACTCAGCATTATATATTAACCTAAGCCTAGCATTCAACTCTAGTGACCTTCTTATTTCATATCCACAATTAAGTTTTGGTAGTATCCCTGACAAAACTAAGTTATTATGGCCCTTTTTAAAAAATGCTTTTATCAGTGCCTTGTACTTAACAATACTTAAGATGAACAACATTGATTATTTATAACAGAAAGGGATTCAGATAAATCTTTTGGAATTCTATAGATTCCATCTTCAGTATCTAAAGCAAAAATATAAAGATTACATCATTCCTAAGTAAATAACTAAAATACATTGCTACATTAATGATAATGTAATCAAAATTAAAACTTATAGAAAGTAGACATAACAAAAATATTGTATATATTAAAGAATGTGCAATTTAAATGAAGATCACATGTTATTCAAGGTTGGAGAATGCTGTTTGGTGTGGAGGGTTTCTTTAATCAGTAATTCCAAATCATTCTCCAACCCTTAATAACATGCAATCTTTATTTAAATTGCACATTCTTTAATATATACAATATTTTTGTTGTTATTTATCTACTTTGGGTGATTTAGTTTTGATTAAATTATCATTAATGTAGCAATGTATTTCAGTTATTTATTTACAAATGATGTAATTCTTTATATTTTTGTTTTAGATACTGAAGATGGAATCTGTAGAATTCCGAACATTTATCTGTATCCCTTTCTGTTATAAATAAACAATGTTGTTCATCTTAAGTATTGTTATCCTTTTTATTGTCAAACTTTGTTTTCCTTTGAACACATCAATTGCTAATGCTTTGTGCATAATACTTAGCTACTCTGACCTTCCTTCTCTACATCATTTGCCCTTATGTGTACCACAAAGACTATCACTGTCATTTATATCCTCTACCCCTGCTCCTGGATAGTATAATCTAATTATTTTCTCCCTATTTACCCCTTGCACTATCCTGTCCATATACCATACTAAAGAATCACCTATAACTGTAACCTCCATATGTTTTTCATTCACATCCTTATCTGTCCCTTTTCTTTTACTCTCCTCCGTTATTTCCTCACATAAGATAAAGGCTTTAATCTGTTACATAATAAACCCTGCTCATAACAATTAAGTCCACTATTTTTAAATATTAGTACTTTTTCCAACTTTACAAAAAAACATTAGCTGCTGTACCCTTGGACTTTGGTTTATTGCTTGAAGTTTTTTAATATGTGAAACTTGAATTGTTTTTAATATTGCAGGAATACTCATATCTCATAAATGTGAACAAAAACAATAACTCTGAAGCTTGTTTATGTTCAGTGTTAATTGCAACTACCAAGATCAGAGATCTTGTGTGTTTGTGGAATTCTATAGTTTTTGGAAAAAAATTCTGATGATGTATGAATGTATGTAGATGTTCTTCATATGAAATAATTAATTTTTCAGCAGTAAATATGTATAAAGTGACCTGTCTGACTTTTATGGATAGCATTAGTTTCATCAACAAAAGCATTGATCATCATTTTCTTTTAAATGATTTTCTTTTAAATTACTTTAACAGGTTGTAGGCATTGCCTTTGGTGATACAATTTTGAGAAAGCTGATTATTACAGATTTTTCTGACAATGACCACTTCTCCAATCTTCAGGTATGTTTCTTGAGTTGTACAGTGATGATGATTTTGTGAAAGTTAAGAATCTAACTTACAGCTAGTGAGTGGTTAAAGTGAAGTAATTGAAAGCATTATACTGAAGCATACATTTTTGACATCTCCATTAAGTCAATTTGTAATATTTAACTTAGTATTATAGTTCAAACTAAATATGTTTTTATAACAATAGCAATGCCATATTTATATACTGGTATTTGAATTAAAACTTATAGTGCAAACCCGTATTTATATTAAGAGCTTTCTCTGTTTCTCCCCCCCCCCTTTTTTTTAATAGCTTAAAAGTGTAAAACATAGATGGTCTTCAATAATGTATTTAAAATCAGGTAGACTTGCTTATGATATGCAAAAATCCTTTTCTTGTTGTGTTGCTTCTATTATGTCAACAGTTGTATGTCTTCAAATTCTGAATGTTCTTCTGCAGTCTTCAGGTATGTTTCTTGAGTTGTGCAGTGATAATGTTTTGTTGAAAATTAAAATTCGAACTTGTAAACTTCTTTTTTTTTCAGGTATGTTCTATTTCAAACCTTGGGTTAATTCTGGCTAACATATTTAATATCTTAATATTTTCCACCTTCTGATTTTCAGGTCATTGGTGATGCTACTAAACGTTAATAGCTGAAACATGGCAAATCTTCCTTATTAGTGATAAAGTGTAAAATATAGATGGTCTTCAATAGTGTATTTTAAGCTGGGTAAACTTACCTATGAAACCTTTTAGCCTGTTATGTTCACTTTCTTTATTACCTACTTATTTACCACTTGAGCTGTTATATACGTTGTTTATGGCAACTCAGCCATTTCTATACCACCCAATTACATAGATGTCTAAGGTTGTTACATTTTGTGCATGTTTGTGTGGTAGCTCAAATGGAAACTCAATATTTCCACTGACAAATTCTACAGTGGTAGTTTTATGTTTGTATGAGTGCATGACATTTACCACACATTGTTCTATATGAGTGCAAAACTATGATGTCTATAACATTAAGTTTAAAGACAAGTATGTCAATAACATAAAGACAAAGGAAACATGTTAATTTGTTACCATCCATGGCTTATATATATATAACAATGCCATTAGTTGTCAATGCAAATTCCAACAGGCACCTAAAATTTTTACAGTTAGGCCTAAAGTTTAAATAAGTTTTGTATGCAAAGCACGAGTTCACACACTATATAATCATTTGGCAATTAGCCGTAATAGTTACTGCCACAATTTCATTTATATTCAATGCTCCACAGCTATTACATTGAGTGAAAGAAAATAATTATAGGTTTCAGATGATATAAAAATGCAATTTAGACACATACGTACAATAAATTTACCCAAAAACATATGATGATAATTGGTTTTTTCACTTCTTGATACCATAATTTTAAAAATTCACTGTTTTATAAGTATTGTACATTTTCAACTGTTGCAATAAAGGCACCTAAAAATTGACAATTAGGCTAAAAATTTAATATGCTTTGTATGTAAAGAATGAGTTTACCTACTAGGGGAAGACAATAGTACACCATGTAAAACAAATCCAATTTGCATAAATGTGTGGAGTTGTAGCTACTACATCATACAAGTGAAAGTGTTTCATTTACATTTTACTTAGTATCACTTATGCTTAAAGCAGGAAAATGTGTGACTGTAAAACCAACTCTTATCATCATTACTGAACCAAATTTGAAGCATTAGTGTTAAAAAATGTATTAGTGTTACAAGTTCAAGACTAGACAAGGCTTATAGGCCAAGTATTGTGGCAATGCCTTTTATCCTTACAATCAGATTATTTAAAGAATAGAACAGTGAACACACATTTCTTTCCTAAGTTGTAAAAGTAAAAACAGTAAGGTAATCACAGACTAGATTCAGAAAGTTCTTTATAAAAGGAACAGTACAATGAAAATAAATTTAGATCTGTTTCTAATTCATAAGATAAGTGTGTGTCTGGCCTAGTAAAAAAAAAAAAACTGCATAGAAACATTTTCAACTAGTCAATTATTTAGTCATGTTAAATGCTGATGTTACGTTTGTTATGGATGTAGGTATTTGAGTACAGTTAAAATGTTATTTTGTGCCCTCATTTTATCCTTTGTGTCCTCAATCATCAGCAAACTTCTTTCTTATTCATTTGGATGTTTTAGTAAGTTTGCTAAAAGTTGTCATATTTCTTGCAAAACATTGTGTAGGCCTACATAAATAGCAAACGGTAGTTAGAGTTTGTTGTTTTACAGTTTATTCTGATGTAATGGTTGAAACTCCACCCATTTATGTAAATTGGACTTGTCTTGCCTAATAAAACAAAAAACATGCAACCCAACACTTTGTGAATACTTTAGGGGAGAATATAAAAAAAAATGATACCATTATGGAAGGAAAAAGAAAGTAAGTGAAATAGCTATAAATGATGATTGTTGATTTTACTCTTATTGATATCATAATTTTGAAAATTTGCTATTTTTAACTATTGTTGCGTCAGCGAAGTCACATGACTAGTGTGATGCCACGTTTCTAGAACTATCCTGTACCTTGGCGAATGCTCTAGCATTTACTAGATATAGGGTAGTCTGGTATATAAAAGAGGGTGACAACGTGACGGAACAATAATGTGTGTAGGAAGTGAGTAATTGATCTGCAGTGAGAAAGTATTGTTGAAGTTAACATTCGTTATAGCGTTTGTTTTAGCGCGAATGTTGAAATCAAGTGTATCATGAAGTTATATTCAGAAAGAATAAACCAGTTTTATTAAGTAAGGACTTGTGTCGCTAAAGTTTCGACAGAACGAAGTTACAGAAAATTAATTAACAAACGGAGACGTAACACTATAATACATTTTCAACTATTTCAATACAGATACTTGAAAATTGACAATTAAGCCTAAAGTTATTGGTGGTAGTGGACCCAGTGCTTTGCTAATACTTTAGGGGATAGTAAAAAAAATATTGATACTATTATGGAAAAAAAAAGAAAAATTTGTGAAATAGCAACAAACAAAGACAGTTGATTTGCACATTTCTTGATACCATAATTTAAAAATTCACTATTTTATAACATTACTGCTTGATCAAGAAAAAATTTCAAGATCTTAGTGAAAGATGGTGATTATCCATAAAGTCAAGGTGTTCATACAAAAAGTGTTGTGTACAAAGATGTATTTCATTTATATTCATTACATGTTTTTACACTTATCTACTTCAAATCTAAATACAGCAACTCTATATTGTGCTTAATAGGTTTTTGTTGCATTCATCTCTAACTACATAATATAATAACAGCATCATTGAAAGGATTTATCTATTTAAAACATATATACCCTTCTCATGTATATTGTATTTCACTTAATGTTGCTGCATTTGTGAAAAAAAAACAATCTTTAGGCTTTGGCTCATATGGCACAGCACATGCTTCGTAGGCCGATGACTTGATCCCATCTATATCCATTTTTGTTTTTTAAACAATGTTTCAGTAGTCAAATAAATTTTAGTATTCATGTTGTATGTTTTAATTATAAAACAAAATTATGATATTTCCTTATAATATGAGCCTGAGACTTGCATGTGACATGTACCTCTGTACAAGCATCCTAGTTAAAATTCCACCCACTATGCTGTTCCATGTTAGGGTGATGTTTTTTTTTTTTAAATATGTGAATTAATTGTATAATATGATCACAGAAACTCGTTATGGATTTTCTAGGCAGTTCTTGTGCATCTAAGCCCAAGAGAGTGTTTACTAATGAAAGACAACAGTCCCCAACAGACTCGGTTAAGATTAGTGATTGAAAGAAGTGGAATTTCTATTACAGATTGTAAATCAGGTACTGAATACTACCTGTTGGGATAAAATGTTAAATATTTTACCACTCATTTTATGTGGAATACGGACTACCTATACATTTGTATACATGACTGTATTCAGGATCAAATGCATTTTAATATTTGTTTGATTTTGGTAGACAGGACTAGAGTTGAATGATTACCCATTACACCAAATAGTGTCACATAAACTAATCAATCAAAATTGATTAGTCAAGATTATTGTTTCCAGTTGTTTTAACAATCAATTAATCTAACTTGCTATTATATCAAGTGTTGCAAAAATAAATAACTAATTCAAATTAGTGTTTTCAGTTATTAGTTTTCTATTATTCCAACAGTTGATCAATTGAAATTATAATTAAATCAATTGTCATGGAAATAATAGACCAATTTAAGTTTTCTGATTATTACAATTATAGGTTAATCTATCTAAGTATTTGAAATATTGTTAAATAATTAAAAATTACACTTATGTAAAACATCTATTACAATTAAAAGGAATACAACATTAAATCTTATACAATAAATAGTTACTAAAAATGGGAACTTGCCTAAAAATACTCCACATACTCTTCAGGAGTAATGGTAAAAGCAAGGTCGAGACTTGTATACCCACATAATCATTTATATACCAAAATGCCATCTAGACTTAAACTACCCAAAGTTATAACACATCTGTCCAGTACTTTATTATTTCTAGGCCTGGACCAGCTTCTTTGTTTAATATTATATGTTTGTTTTTTTCGATTTTAGTAGTTTCTGTAATTCTATTTTATATTCTACCTGTTTTATCAACTTGTGTTATTCCAGTCTATAACACAATGTTTCCACCACATGTTCTGCTGATACAGATTCATTTACTTTGTATTTTTCTACTTCATTTTTATGTTCTTTGATCCTGCATTTTAAATTTCTAGACGTTTGGTCAATATAAACTTGACCACAGATACAAATAATTTTATAAGTCCCATATTTATCAATTTCTTCTAGTCTATCTTTTGTACTCCTGAGACTATTTAATTTATAATGTGGAAAGAATGTTGCACTACATTCTATGTATTTTTTAATTATATTACCTATTTTTGTCGATAAGCCTTGAACATATGGTAAACAAACTCTCATGTTATCTACTTTACATTTTCCCTCTAATCTTGTACATGTTAACATTCTTAACTTACTGATATATTTATGATGCTATCTATCAATAATTTTAGGTGTATATCCTATATCTAGATAGATACAAGATACAACATTGTATTCCTTTTAATTGTAAAAAAAAATAAAAAAATCAACATCGTTGTCAAACTTCCTAACCCTGTCTTTATTATTACAAAGCTACTAAGGTTATCTAACACTGTCTTAAATGTTTAAATTCTGACTATGGGGGAATACAACAGGTTGGCAGCACCCACCACCAAAAAGTTTTTTTGTGTTTGTATCATAGTTGGATGAACATGGTACTCGTTGATTAATTGATTGCAATCTATTATGGTACCATCGATTATGGGATTAACAAACACTGCTTATTGATAGGGCTATAGAACATTTATTAATTGAATGTCCAGACATTTTATTTAGGTGTTTCACTATAAACATGTTTTAACATTCATTTTTCATTTCTTTACTTACTTTCTTTTTACACACACACACACACACACACACACACAGAGGATAGAAGTATGATATCCACAGAATAGCTAATTATGAATATATTATCTAATTTAAATGATAGCAAAATATCATGTTGTGAATGCCATATTGATGGTAATATACCACAAAATTGTTTTAACACAGCCAATATAGGGGAAATGGCATGAACTTTTTTGGAAAGGATTTTTTGTGGGGTATAGAATTAATACTTGCTAGGTATGTTAATTTTCAGAGACATTGGTTTGTAGTAAGTTTAAACTTTGTACTTCATAGAAGACTTGGCCTTCTAAAACTTTGAATGTGTGAAATGGATAGCATGATTGAAAATTTGTGTGAATTGTGGATTTTTTTTATTTGTAATTTTGAAAATATTTTTGGGGTAGAATTTGGGTGTGTGTGTAGGATGAGATGTGCCATTAGTGACTTGATCAGACATAGGCACACTGACAGTCAACTGAGAAGGAACAGTAAAGTTTGTTTATTAACAGAGTTTTTATGTTTAGACAAGGGCTTTAGTATTTCAAAGATTCCTTGTATATAGTCTTTTTTGAGTTACATATAAGGGCTCGATTTTAAGGAAATTTCCAAGTTGTCCGACAAAAAACAAAACTAAAAAAAAACAAATACAACAATATTGATGTACAAGGACCCAATTACTTATTTATTTCAAAAAAGTACAACTTATGTTTAGTTGGCAATGTTGCATCTTTATTAATCTAATTTTTGATGCCTTATTTCCCGGGAAGTTTCGTTACCTGGGAAAGCATAAGCCCAAGCCATGCCAATGTTGCATAGTATCTTAAGGAAACAAATAGTCAATGATCTATAAAACTTTCAAACAGAACAGTGATCTTGGCCAATCATGTTCAATATTTTCGTTCCAACCAGCTTGGCTTGCCCCGCCAAGTATAGTAAAGTACAGCCTGTAATTGAACTCTCACACATACTTCTGTACCGTAGAGCATACACAGTGCCTGAGTTCTGCACACACACATACATTGCTGATATGTATTGTCATTCATACTTGTAGTTTGATTTTGTTAATTTTATTGTTTTAGTTCCTACCGAAGGTTTAATGATAAGAAGTTGAGACAGCCATGTTAGTTTTGTTGTCATAAGCATCTATACTAGAAATTAATGTCACTAAATATTTGTTATTGGCATTAGTTTTTGTTGCAAATTTCTTCCCACTCATACAAACAAACAAACATACATACATA